TTTGAGATGGAGTTTCTCTCTGTTGCCCAGGCTGGAGTGCAGTGGCACGATCTTGTCTCACTGCAACCTCTGCCTCCCAGGTTCAAGCAATGCTCATGCCTCAGCCTCCCGTGTAGCTGGGATTACAGGTGCCTGCCACCACACGTGGCTAATTTTTTTATTTTTAGTAGAGACGGGGTTACACCATGTTGATCAGGCTGGTCTCGAATTCCTGACCTCCTGATCTGCCTGCCTTGGCCTCCCAAAGTGCTGGGATTACAGACAGGAGTCACCATATCCGGCCTGTGACCCTTTAATAAATAGCACACAACTGATTTTTCTCTACAAAAAGCGGACATGTTCACTGCAGAAAATTGTGAAACAGAGATAATAGCATCAGAAGAAAGATGACTTATACCGCATCATTGAGAGATCACTAGCACCAAAAAATTTGGCTGATGTCTTTATTATTCATTTATATGTCTACCATCCAATTCAAATATGTATATGTATAAATGTACATACAAAATTTACAAAATAAATGGCATCATCCTGTTCATACTAACATGAAATAGAAACCTAATGATGTGAGCTTGTGGCTGGGCATGGTGGCTCACGCCTATAATCCCAGCATTTTGGGAGGCCAAGGTTGGCGGATCATTTGAGGTCAGAAGTTTGAGACCAGCCTGGCCAACATGGCAAAACCCCGTCTCTACTAAAAGTACAAAAATTAGCCGGGTGTGGTGGCGCATGTCTGTAATTCCAGCTACTTGGGAAGCTGAGGCAGGAGAATCGCTTGAGCCCAGGAGGCGGAGGTTGCAGTGAGCCACTATCACCCCACTGCACTCCAGCTTGGGCGACAAAGCAAAACTCCATCTCAAAAAAACCCAAAACCCCCAACAGCCTAATGGTGTGTGCTTGTCAACTATGTTGTGATTAGCACCTTTTGAACAGTTTAAAGTTCTCCTAAAGTGATTCGAACTTACCTTCCGAGGCTTCACCTTGTCTTGTATATCATACTGGCCAATTCCCTTATAGCTGATTCCAAGCCACCAAGGAAGTCCTTGCTTATCCTAGAAGATGAAAAAGCATGAGAACCAAGACCTAGCTGTTAACTCTTCTAGAAATGAATAAAATTTACCAATTTCACCTTTTTTTTTTTTCCTTGAGACAGAGTCTCGTTCTTTCACCAGGCTGGAGTGCAGTGGCATGATCTCGACTCACTGCAACCTCTGCCTCTGGGTTTGAGCAATTCCCCTGCCTCAGCCTCCCGAGTAGCTGGGGTTACAGGTGCACACCACCACGCCTGGCGAATTTTTTGTATTTTAGTAGAGATGGGGTTTCGCCATATTGGCTAGGATGGTCTTGATCTGTTGACCTCATGATCTGCCCACCTCAGCCTCCCAAAGTGCTGGGATTACAGGTGTGAGCCATCACACCCGGCAATTTCACCTCTTAACAAGTATCAGCAAGTCAAAATAAAGCTGTCTTGATAAACAAAACATTATTTAAAAACCTAACTTGTTATTAAAACATCTTGGAGTTTCTTCAAATAGAATCTTTAAGTTGAAGTAGTCCAATACTGTTAATACCATCAAAAAGAGTAAAGCATTACTGCTTTAATTAAACAGTTGGAGAAAATAAATAAAATGTAAGTAATTCAACTAAGAATTAATCCAGTAAAAAGCCAGTTATCCATTAAAAAAAAAAAAAAAAAAAAGCTCTTTCTCTCTTAATTAGTAACCAGTTATAAAAGGTTGGGGACGTTTCCAAAGAATTACAAAGATAAGAAAAGTGGTTCCAATTCCTGATGTTTATAAAACAATTAACAATGAACATTGGGATACTGAAAACCCTTTTGGAGAACTATACAATTCAATGACAGGATGTTTGAATAATTGGTTTCAGGTACATATGGGGAGGTGAGTAATATTTTTTTCATAAATTTATCTTTTATGTTTTGCCAAAGCATAGAATATACTGACACAGGAAAAGGAAAATTTAGGCTTAGACAGATTCCTATATACAAACTGGAGTCAGTAGAAATTAAAGTTAAATTGGAGACTGGGCATGGTGGTTCATGCCTGTAATCCCAGCACTTTGGGAGCCCGAGGCGGGTGGATCACCTGAGGTCAGGAGTTCGAGACCAGCCTGGCCAATATGGTGAAACCCCATCTCTACCAAATATACAAAAAATGAGCCAGGTGTGGTGGTGCGTGCCTATAATCCCAGCTACTCTGGGGGCTGAGGCAAGAGAATTGCTCAAATCCGGGAGGCAGAGGTTGCAGTGAGCTGAGATCACGCCACTGCACTCCAGCCTGGGCAGTAGAGCTAGACTCCATCTCAAAAAAAAAAAAAAAAGTTAAATTGGTACTGATTTTTAGCACAGGTATTCTCATTATGTAAATATTTTTTATCTAATTCCCCATCATTTTGAATTGTATAGAGATATGAACATTATCATAACATGAAAAGTCAATCAAGAACTGATCAATTATAAAATTATTTCTCTTCCAAACAAGACATCCTTAACACTTTCATCTCATCATCTCAAAATATCTGTCAATCTCTCCCTGCTTATAAACATCTGAAAATACTTTTCATCATCTCAAAATATTTCTTTGTCAATCTCTCCCCACTTATAAAACACCTGAAAATACAGTGTATGTAATACACTGATTGAAACATGGTATTGCAAATCCTGTAAAAATTTCAGCATTCCATGAAGCTGTTGAAATAATGCTGGAGACTGCATAATTTTCTAACAAAAGCATTCTCAAATGAAGATCTGGTAGTGCTAGAAAGGTGACCAACTGGAAAAAGGACCGATCAGCAAGCAAAGGTGTTTCAAAAGAGAATGATCTGAACATCTTAGGACGAAGAGAGGTCTTGGAAAAACATTTTACCATAGCAAGTATTTTGCAAAAATAATGTGCTTTATAATTTGCTACAAATGGCAAGATAAAATCAGCCTTTTATGTATTACGAGAAAAGCTGGTATTGTGCAATAACTCTTAATAATCATGAAAGCTTTGTTATGTAAAACGATTTACCTTTACTGCATAATAATGGACACCATAAGTTGGTAGAGCTTCTACTATTTTCATATACCTATGGAAAATAAATATGTATCACAATCTTATTAAAATAGTTATTTTCTCTTTTGGGAAAAGTGATTTAAAGAAACACCATGTTTCTACTTTCCTCACTATTAGAATAATTAATAAGTTTCACTCAAATAGAAACAGAATAAACTATTTTGGGGAGTAATATATTTTAGCTTATTCAAATGTTAGGAAAATGCTAATAGAACCTCAATTTCAAAATTACAGAAAATGTTACTTTCCACACATTCAAATGTTTACGGATTAGGAATGTACCGTATTATAAACTCCACTTGCAAGTGTTTTTACAGTAAGCCCCTAATGATGCAAGCAATGAGCACCAACTTTTGGGTCATACTCATAAGTTAAACAATAAAGCTATTCCATATATTGCTTGTGGTAGAGGTTACATAACTAGAAACATCTGTCAAAACTCCTAGAACTATATACTTTAAAACTATGAATTATGTAAACCTGACTTAAAAAATATGTCCCCCCGAGGCCGGGCGCAGTGGCTCACGCCTGTAATCCCAGCATTTTGGGAGGCAGAGGTGAGTGGATCACCTGAGGTCAGGAGTTCAAGACCAGCCTGGCCAACATGGTGAAACCCCGTCTCTACTAAAAATACAAAAATTAGCTGGGTGTTGTGGCGGGCACCTGTAATCCCAGCTATTTTGGAGGCTGAGGCAGAAGAATTGCTTGAATTCAGGAGGTGGAGGTTGCAGTGAGCCGAGATTGCACCATTGCACTCCAGCCTGGATGACAGAGCGAGAATCTGTCCAAAAAAAAAATTTAAAAAGTCCCCCCAAAATAAAAATTAAAGCGACGATCCCGCTACTTGCTATTTTTAATTCAGTAGTGTTTATTGTACACCTTTAAGCCTTTGGAGTGGACTAAATTGTGTAACGCTTCCTCTCTGCCCTCAGGGAACTGAGGCTCTTGTTTTAACACAAGTAGATTTTTAATGACATTTTGATGATCAATTTCTCCAGAAACTGTAATCAATAATTTGACATATGTTTTAAAAGTAAATGGCCTACATGTAAATGAATATAAGAGGTTAAATGTGTCAAGGTCATGCAGCAACTAAACTGCAGAGTCAGAATTCTAACAAAATGGGCCGGACTTCACATCCTAGAACCTTAATCACCAAGTGAAACCATCTCTTAGATGAAGCCACACAATAATGATCAGAAGACTCTGCATTTAAGCGTGGCTACTGTTTTTTTTTTTTTTTTTTAATTGTTTTTTAGGTTCCAGGGTACTTGTGCAGGATGTGCAGGTTTGTTACATAGGTAAATGTGTGCCATGGTGATTTGCTGCACCTAACAACACATCACCTAGAGATTAGGGCCAGCATGCATTAGCACTTTTCTCCAATGCTCTCTCCCACCCCAGCCCTCTCCTGACAGGCCCCAGTAAGTGTTGTTCCCCTCCCTGTGTCCATGTGTTCTCATTGTTCAGCTCCTACTTATAAGTGAGAACAAGTGGTGTTTGGTATTCGGTTCCTGCATTAGTTTGCTGAGGATAATGGCTTCCAGCTTCATACATGTCCCTGCAAAGGACATGATCTCATTCCTTTTTATGGCTACATAGTATTCCATGATGTGTATGTACCACATTTTCTTTAAATTGATCCAGTCTATCACTGATGGGCATTTGGGTTGATTCCATGTCTTAAGCATGGGACTTTGTAATATACAGTCACGCATTGCTTAACAATGAAGATACATTCTGAGAATTGTGTTGTTAGGTGATTCTGTCCTTGTGCACACATCATGGAGTGCACTTACACAAACCCAGATGGTAGAGCCCACTACACAGTTAGGCTGTATGGTATGGCCTATTGTTCCTAGGCTAACCTGTATAGCATGTTACTGAGCTGAAATATTGTAGGCAATTATAATACAATGGTAAGTATTTGAGTATCTAAACATAGAAAAGATACAGTAACAATATGGTATTATAATCCTATGGACCCACCATTGTATATGTGGACAGAAATGGTACATGGCTGTACTCACTAGTTTATTCTAAAACCCTTAATGAAAATTGTCACTACTTCTTTTTACTTTTCAGTTCAGAAAACAGGCACAATGAATTAAAATATCAAGGATCCAACTTCAGGATGCTAACTTCTGATTTCTGCTGCAAAGATAACAGAAGGTGTGTTTTGATAAAAATGAGATTAGAGGCTGGGCACAGTGGCCCACGTTTGCAATCCCAGCATTTTGGGAGGCCGAGGTGGGAAGATTATTTGAGGTCAAGAGTTTGAGACCAGTCAGGCCAACATGGGGAAACCATCTCTACTAAAAACACATAAATTAGCTGGGCATGGTGGCACACGCCTATATCATCCCAGTTACTCAGGAGGCTGAGGCACGAAAATTGCTTGAACCCAGGAGGCGGAGATTGCAATGAGGTCGAAGATTGCATCACTGCACTCCAGCCTGGGTGACAGAGGGAGACTCTGTCTCAAAAAAAAAAAAAAAGAAAAAAAAAAGAGAGAGAGAGAGAGAGAGATTAGAGCAAAGAAGTAGGAGTGTGAGGAAAATCTACAATCTCCAAGTCCTTATTTCAGTTTTTACAGGCATAGAAATGATTTTAAAAGTTTTGGCCGGGCGCGGTGGCTCAAGCCTGTAATCCCAGCACTTTGGGAGGCCGAGACGGGCGCATCACGAGGTCAGGAGATCGAGACCATCCTGGCTAACACGGTGAAACCCCCTCTCTACTAAAAAATACAAAAAACTAGCCGGGCGAGGTGGCGGGCAACTGTAGTCCCAGCTACTCGAGAGGCTGAGGCAGGAGAACGGCATAAACCTAGGAGGCGGAGCTTGCAGTGAGCTGAGATCCGGCCACTGCACTCCAGCCTGGGCCACAAAGCGAGACTCCGTCTCAAAATAAATAAA